AAATGGGACGTTGACCGGCGTTTCTCGATCCTAACAGTCAGCCATTCTTAAGTTTAAAAAATTCTGTAGAGTAGAGTAATTCGTTTCTTATTTTTGTTTCCTTCCTACAGAATTTTTTAAATATAGTAGTAGTAACAATCTTTTATTAGGAAGCTCCATCACTAAAAGTGGTTTACATAGAGGTACTAATACTAGATATATACTATATAATACGCAGCCATTGGCTGCGTATATATCGGTATATATACGCAGCCAATGGCTCTTAGTCGTCACCGAAAATTTAAAAAAAAATTTACCGACTAGAAGCGGAGGTATAGACACGCGAATTTGAAAATGAGGACAAATTTCGAATCGAAAAGATCCGTATTAACGTATCCGCGGAGTTTTCACGCGCGCTCAATCGAGTCCACGCGCGCGGAAATTAACAATCCACAAAGTAATGGAATGACATATGTCACCTTAGAGCTTTAGTACGAAGTATTTGTATTTTCTTAGGAGATATTTTTTTGTTCGATCTTTTTATGGATTAGAAGAAAAGTGACAAAATCGGGCGGGTTAAGTTTGCATAAATGTGCTTGAATATCTGTAAAGTCTTAATGCAAGAAATGTTCATTTGTCTAATGTTGTTTGTTATTCGTGGACATTCAAGTCCAGAAATACTTTTTTCACGCCTAGTTTGCAACTGCTTAAATCATCATTACAACTGTGGTGTTCACATCTTCATTTTACATACATACATACATGTATACATACATACTTAATTTGGTCTCGCAGGTTAAAAAGATCTGGCAGCCGTTGGCTGATGTGGACCGGCGTTACTAATTTACAATATTTACATCTAATAAAAAAAAAATAAAAAGGCCAAATATGTACAATGTGTGAGTAATGAAAATAAAAATTAAAACTAGGTTGGGTTTGATAAATGTATATTAGCCCACGTTTATGTGCATAAACGATCGCTTGTAGTGGTTTCATTCAATTTCAAAGCTCGCATGGGCGGTTTTACCAGTGCGTTGAAAATTTAGAAGTAAACTAAACAATCTCACCGAGACACTAACCGTAACCCTGACTGTACCACTCTTTCCTCGTCCCCATCAAACGAGGTTTTCTTTTCGCCATATCGCCTTTGAGTAAAGTAACTGCTCGAGCATTTTGTTTCGTTTCGTTTTTATTTTATTAGCTTTTGAATTTTGCCAAACGAAGCTTAACGACGAAACGCGACCAAACGTGTCACGAAATTCAACTATCGATCTTCATGGGCTGTGTTTTAGGTGTTTTTCCGTCTACCTCTTTTTTAGTTTCACTGGACGTTTCCTCTCCAACACATTCTGTAGGAAAGATGCCCAAAATAAATGAATAAACAACTCCTGCGAGCCTCGTAAATCCGCGTGGGACTCTGAGAGGAAAGCTGCGATCGTTGTTATGAGATTTTTCTCGGTCGCTGCGAGTGGAAGTGACGCCGAAGACATGACGCTGAAGTGAGGAAGTAACCAAGGAAGAGGAATTCCTGATAGATGGTAGCAAATTATTAAAAAATCATTTGCCCTTGAGCTTTAAAGCGGCACTCAGAAAGGAAACGAAAATACACCACAGACGCCATATTGTTTACATTGCTTCGTGGTCTTTCGTGGGTTTTTATAATATATATAACAGAATATGTAAGATAGCGTCAAAATTCGAAAAAGAAATTTTAAAACTTGGTCGTCGTAGTTCTCTCAAATATGCAGAATGTGCATATGCAGAACGACGCCGAGGAAAACGTCGATTAAAAATGAATTTATATTAATTAATCTCGCGATATATTAATTAATCTCGCGATAAGGTCTTTTACTTTGTTTATCACTGTCAAAATTATCGCAAAACTAAATCCGGAACACAGCGATAAATTTGAAATAACAATCAAAAAATTTAGCCGTTCTGTTTCACGTTCTCCAGACAACGCAGAACTTGGTCAGTTCACGTTGTTGTTTTGCAGGGGACGGCAGAGAAATGCACCAAGAACTATGACGCACGTGCACAGCCATCGTGCTGCTCAGTAAACCTTTTGTTCAGTGACGTTACCGTTGCCGTCGTCGTCGTGGTTTTCTTAAGCTCCCTATTGTACCCGTTGCCGTTGAAGTTTGTTTATGAGAGAGTTTAAGCATGATGTCTACGGCAGACGGCAAACGACAAAAATTACCTCTGAGTTCTTATTCTTTTCTTGTAATCCTTAAATAAATCAGACAAAAATAGAAAAATGTCTTCTACTATTCACCGCAAATACAAATATTTTCACTCTACTGTACAGACAGCTGAAGGAAGACAGCAAAAGTTTCATTTTTGCCGTTTGCCGTTTGACGTAACGTAAACTCCCTAAAACCGAATAAACGGCATAACCACGCATAATAATAAACAGCAAAACGAGCACAAAACAAACCAAAGCCCAGCCGAACAAAGAGACGGATGAGAGTGTATAAAACATTTCTGCTATGAAACTTCATTTGAAAATCCAAACATATAAAATGAATTTTCCGCCATTCGTCTCAGGTAGTTCGAGAAAGTCGCTTGGACTGTCCACGCTTCGCGCGAGTAGCATCCCCGAAAGAACTGGGTACCATGTCTAAAAATAACGTAAGAGGGATTACCAAGGCCTATATGGGGGATTCACACTCTTACCTTGATAATCTCTTGCTTTGAGCTATCCCAGGGATTTCAGCTCAATAGGTAGCTTGGAACAGAAATTCGATTGTATCCGGCACAGATCCGCGACGCAATATTGGAGAAATCTGAATGACTGAAGCAGAGCTGATCTCGAACAAACTGAGAGCTTTTCAAAAACAATGCAACAACAACACATTTTAACGAAAAAAAGCAGAACATGAAAACAGGTCGGTTGCCAATTAAAGACCCTCATTAAATTGGGTAATAGCTGGCTATCACATGGGTATCCAATTATAGGTATTCAATTACAAAAAGTTCAAATTGTATACCTGCGATTGGACACCCACGTGATCCCGCGCCGATTACGTGACAAATAGGCGCGCGGAGAACCAATCACGATCGACAATTTTGTTGTAGATACGATAATAATCATCATCATCATCATCATCATCATCATCATCATCATCATCATAATAATAAGAGAGGATAGTGATCCTGCTTTTGAGAAGATGCAGTGGAGATTAAATAAGACCATCCCCATAAAATGTTTCCTTTATCGCCCTTTCATTCTGTCTCGTGAAACTGAGACAAATAAATGATTCCAAGAGAACTGTTATTATATCTACACCATGGCTGGAGCGAGCCACTTTCACAGACGTTCGAAGATGTCGTTATCAACGGCCATTAAGATGTCAGAGCCACTTTAAATTCATACAAAGCAGATTAGCCTTGGAAGCAGAGAAATAAGCGAAGCAGTCAATGAAACAGGGCAAAACTTATTTCTCTCTTCATTGAAAAACGTTTGGGTTGCTCAGGCGCTAGGAAACAAAACAAGACATGTCGACAGCCTAAATCGAAATAAAAATGTTTTTTATTTCTATATCCCACTATAGGACATAACCATTAAAAACAGCTTTTCACTGTTAAGCGAACAACCCTCAACAATTCCATCAATATATATATTGTTAATATAATTGTTGTCATTTTCTTGTAATATTGGAATAGTTAATGTCACTTTTTGGGCGAATGGAGCAAGAAATTTATTCGTCAAACGTAAAAGTCTCATTGAAAATAATAATAATTCTTCTCAGGCACAACTAAGGCTTACATATTAGGTTTACAGATCATAAATTACTTTCCCTTTTATCCCCTCACATCAACCATTTGATACACTCAATTCGTCCCCGGAGCTTGAAAGATTTAGCTGTTGCTACACTAGCTTGTAACGAGGACAGTAGGTTTATTTTCTAAGATTTAATTCTACTCAACCCTTTTATCCCCTATACTAAATAATTCAAGTAAGTCTGGCCGATTTGACCGGTATGACTTGAATAAGACTGTGAACCAGTCCGATTTTCCTAGTCTCCGTTCAAATCAAATCAATCAACACTTAGGCATATTATTTTTTCTTCGTTGGTTTTTGCTTGTTTTGCTTCTCAGTGAAATCGGGACAGTTCGCATTCTTGCTCTTGCAAGAGAATAATTAGGTCAAATCAGTATTTATTAGCGGTCCTAAAAGTTGTCGCCACGCAATACCACTTGCTTACATGCCCGAGTTCTTTGGTCCCTTCTCGGTGCCGCCCGCGGCATTTACACGCGAAACTACGATCGCGTTTTTGGCTGCAGTCAATGATAACTGCGACTCAACCAGCGAAACAATTAAAATGAATCGCACTCTACCAATTACAGTCCATAATCGTGGTTTTTTAAACTTGTTTAATTACTGTTCATGCCGTCACTCGTTATTTTTATCCTTCCAAGACGAAAAGGAAGGACGGGGGGGGGGGNAGGGGAGAGGAAAGGAGGATGGAGCATATTTGTAAAATACATAAGTCATAATTTAACAAAAATACGAAACACGAAAATTCAATTAAACCCCCAAACACCCCGAATTTAACATAAATTATATGTATGACGCAAGGTCCCCCAAAATTCTTTCTAAGGCCTCGTCCACACTACGCTGGGGAAATATGAAGACGCAGCTTTATTTCTTTATTTCCTACCGTCCAAACAAATCTGGATAAATTGCCCACAGAAAACGGAGGTTTTCGAAAACATTCTTCGAACGGGAGGAATTTAAAAACATGGGCTTTGCGTTTCATTGTAGACAGAGGACATTTTAAAAACGGAGCTTTTCGAAAACGATGACGTAACGATAAACATGTGATGACGGGAAAAACAACAGGGTAGCCACGTGGATTTAATAAGACCCTTACTATGCGCATGCTCTAGGGCGCACTCAAGCGTTTCTGTCGCCGGTGATTGCTGCGTTTTCAAATTTTTCCTGTGTAGTGTGAACGGGGCCTATATACGCAGAGGTCAGCCAGAAAACAATAGAAAACATTGACGAATCTCAAAATATCAAACTCGCCAGTTTTCCGCTTCACGATTCCTTTCGTCTCGTCCCCAGGCCACTTTTCCTTTCAAGGTTTGAATTGAATTGATTTGAATTGGAAAACTGCCCTGGGATGGGACTACAAAATAAATCATTAAAAGCTAAGGTCACCCAACACACCCCGCAGTTTGGCCAGAACGGGTTTTCGGCTTTCGTTCATTGCTTAGTGAGGGTCTTTACGAGGACAAAAATAGAAAAAGAACAAAACAGCTCCATGTGGCTACCACTCCACGGGTAATTGGCTGTGCGCATGCTTGGAGGTTCTGACCAAATAGGGGAGATGTGTAGTGTGACCAAAGCTTTTAAAAGGTTTTCTTTTTTGAATTGGCAAAAGTTTTGTATTAAGATTCCATTTAGGCTGTACCATACAGGACAAGAGACCATTCTGCTACACACCCAGCCACAGGTCCTTGTAGATCAGCTGATGGTTTGCACCAGTCTCCCTCGTCACTGGCCATATTGTTAGGCAGCTTTGGTGCATCCGCTGTCTTCATGTAATCGTCCTTAAAGCGTCCGTGAGAGAGCTCGCGCTGGAAACTGGGTTCATCGTCGCGTTGAGGGAACGTGTCGACTGATCTTTTTGTCACCTTCATGTAATCCTCCTTGAAGCGACCGTAAGAAAGATCATTGGCGATGTTAGCGGGCTGATCTCTCTGAGGCGACTCTCCTTCGTCGAACATTACGCTGCCGTGTCTCGGAGAAAACTCGTTTTCAGACTGAAAATTGTCAAAGAAACTTGTCAAAAGAATGTACGCACGTGGTTAAAGAAAGATTTAAATTTGGAGAATACCGTTGAGTTTGCATATTAGATCTACGATTGTTTTGGCTTTCTATTTTCTAGCTGTTAAAAATTGTTTAGAACTGGCCTTCTTGCTGGCCACTTATGTTCTGGCTGAACTTATATTGGCTGTGTACTGACATGTGGGGTTTCTGCAGGGGAGGGTAAGGATAATTTCTCCTTCAAAAAGAAATCACGACGGTTTTTTTTTTTGGACGAGCTGGGAAGCTACGACTGTATATAAATCGTGCGCAATTCCTAGTTGCTTATTTTTACCATATGACTTGTCTCGCACTAAATTGTCTTCTAAATCTCTTTTCGACATCAAGGAAGTCAGCAGTTTGCGCAGCGTTTTTAAAATTGAGTTATACCCTCGTTTAAAGCATTTTTTTTATCGGCGGAATCGATCGATGACTGATTTTTCAAACCGTCTATGCTATTCGTTTTTCTTGTTGCTTTCTTCTTTTTTGATCACGAAGTTTTAGATTTACTTTATTTTATTTTCTAAGAACATTTTCGACGTTGTAAAATAGTCTTGCTTGCAAAGTACATCACCTTTTCATCCCTGATCGTCACTGTCCATTCTCCCTGCGGCTTTTCATCCCAGAATTCCACACTTGTGAAGGGCCACTTGACAAGACCGTCACTAGAGCTATCCAATGGTCTCTTGGCCAAAAGACGGGAAGTGGTCCCCTGAGGGGAAACAAGATCAATGACCATGTCCCCCCGGCGGCGGTAGCTTACCGATAAGACGAGCTGAACATGCTCCAACTTTTTGATGTCGTCTTTTCTATTGTTTAGCTGTTAGTAACGAGAAATAACTTGTTTAGTCTAGGCAAAATCTCAAATAAAACTTTTTACTTTACAAAGAGAGTATGATTCTCTCGTTTTCGAAAAGCTCCGTTTTCAAAATGTTTTCCGTCCACACGAAAACGAAAAGCCGCCATTTTCAAATTCCCCCGGTTTGAAGAGCGTTTTCGAAAAGCTCCGTTTTCGCGACGGATTAGTGTGGACGGTAGGCCTAAACGTAGAAATAAAGCTGTGCTTTCAAATTTCTCCAGCCTCGTGTGGACGCCGCCTTAAGCCTCGTCTGTATGACAAACCGCTGATAATATTGCAATAAAAGCTATTTTGCTTTTTTGACCACCTCGGTTCTGTGAATAACAAACGCTGCAAACTCTTACAAACAGTAAGCGTCGTATACGTAAAGAAAACGAACAAATATATAAAGGAACATAAAAACTTGTTATCTATTTTGTCACCTTCAAAACCGTCTCTCTCCTAGAAGGTATCTCTGCGTTATCTCTTGTTAAGGCACCTGGTACTTTATATGAAAGCTGCTGTGGAACATGCCTCCATTCCTTAGCTTTCTTTATCAAAGAGTTCGCGTTCAAAACGCCAAAACCATACGAACGACTGTAGAAATGACCAGCGGCATTCTGAAAAAAAAAAAACAGAGGTTAGGACATGACGATGTGGCTCGATCTCTTGGTGATTTCGAGGCCGAACCGAGAAGCTAGTAGTCATTTACAGCGGAGGCCACAAAATCGGGTCGCAATCTAGTCTGTGAGCAGGTTCTTACAGTAACTGCAGCACGATAGGTGAGGCTGCGAGCGACATCTCTCACGGTCTTATTTGCCACCAGTGCCGCAGCACCTATGATAGCCACAAAACAGAAAGAAACAATGCATAGCAAAGAAAAGGGAAGCGAAACAAAACAAAACAAAACAAAGCAAAGCAAAGCAAAGCAAAGCAAAGCAAAGCAAAGCGAAGCAAAACAAAGCAAAACAAAACGAAACAAAACAAACAAAAAACAAATCGAATCGAATCGAATCAAATCAAAGCAAAGCAAAGCAAAACAAAACAAAACAAAACAAAACAAAGCAACGAAAAGAAAATATAAAGCAGAGCACGTTTCCTATTCCTGGCTTGAGGCCCGTCGCTCAATTCCACTGGTAGAATATCATAGAATCTCACCTTACTCCAAGAGGCCCCTTTAGGATCATTTTTCTCGGCAGTCTGGACAACCAAATGCTGCATATCTCGCCAAGTGAGCTCGGGGTTCGCCTCCAAAACCAGCGCAAAGATTCCTGCTGCCAGAGGTGCCGCACACGAGGTACCAGAAAAATGCGTGACGCACTCATGAAACAGAGAGGTGGTAACCAGGTGACTGTAGGGTTCCCGTTTTCCCGCGCCAGCATCTCCTGTGTACACTACAGCCATTGTAGACGGACAATTCTCGTCGTAGCTCGGTCGAAATCCAGTAGGGCTGGCTGAACCAATGGTTAAGGTGTAGATACTCGAAGCGTAGCCATCACAGTTACAGTCATCCAAGGAATTGCCGCCATTTCCACTTGCCCACACATACAAACTGCCTTTTCCTAGAAGGAATAATTGAACGTTTATAGCTAGATGATTATTTTTAGGTTGCGGCAAATCAAATCGCCAAGAAAAAATAACCAGATACTATGATTTCATACTACGGAGCAGTTAAGACGTCGCGCTTCTGCAATGTCGAGCATAATTTTAATAACGCTCGACTTCAGCACGGCAGAAACACGACTCTGATTATTTTTAGGTTGTGGCAAATCAGATCGCCAAGAAAAAAAAATAACCAGATACTATGATTTGCGACTAAGGAGCAGTTTAGACGTCGTGCTTCTGTCGGACTCTGATTCAGCGCCGTACCACAGTCCAGATTTACTGAAGCTACGTAACAATTCTCCTCGTAACTCCCTGCGGAAACGCAATCCCACCATCACCACTTCTGTGATGTACGCACCTTAGATCATTATCATTAACATAATTTATGAATTTTGTTTGGCGCGGCAGAAGCACGACGTTTGAATCGCCGCCATGCCAGAGTCGTGTAGCACGACAGAGGTTGTCGAACTTAATTTCTTGAAGAACTTAGTTCAAAAGTTTGATTCGGACGACGTGCTTTTGCCGTGCTAGTTCGGCCCCGCAGAAGGTCTGAACTGGGCCTAAGTTTATTGAAGTATTCCTTTACGCGCATGACCGAAAGACGTACCTAATATGTTCACCTGCCTATTGTTTCTCCCTTTAGTTGATAATTTTAAGGCGTTTTCCGTCTAAAATTAACCCACAATAAAAACGATGGAAAACACTCATTTGTAATTACTCCAAATTTGGAAGCTAAATGGAGGCTTTTAGCGTCGACGCTTTTTGAAGTCTCTGTTCAGTCTTACCTGACGACATATACAGACGATTTCGATGAAAACAAGCAGGCTTGGTATTAGCCATGACTGTACATACCCATCGAGAGAAACGGTCACGAATTGAAACCGTTTGTTTGGCAACATTTACGTTGCCATTGTCGCTTCGTGGTTTGTTTAAGCTTGAAGTTCTTAGCTAGTATTAAAACACACCTGCAGTCTAGCTTTCGCCAACATTTCAGGTGGCTCGGACAGAATATCATTACTCAAACATGGTCGCTTGAAAAAAGTTGATCGCTTCCAATAAAGGTTTCAAGTTGTGAGTCGCCCTTCAAAATGACGTTCGAGAGTCATTTTGAACGCTTATCTTTGAACAGTGAACGTATTTAAGAAAAAGGATCTAGAGAAGCTGTTTAAATAGAGGAGAAAATTAACACGCGAAATTAATTGTTCAAAATTAAAATACGAACTAAATTCTCTTTTTATAGAATAACGTTTATATAACAACTTTGTGGCTTATAGAAAGCCGGGTAAAATATCATAACAGGCAAAAACGTTCTAGAAATTGATTGAAATTTGCGAAGAACTCTTTTTTACCATTTCTCGGGCAAATTACAAATACATTTAGACACAACATTGAAGAGCGTGTTCAGAATATGATTTAAATGCGTTTCGAGGAGATTTCCTACAAGTCCCACGATAGCATTTCAAATAAGACAGTTTAAAGAACATGTGTTATTATCTGCAGCGACCTTGTAAAATGTCATTAACAAAAATACTTTTTGCTTCCAAGTTTACGTGGGAATCTGTTTGTTTCCTTAAGTGTCCGCCAAAAACATAAACATTCAATATTACGCTGCATTCCTCCCCCACAGAAACAACAGAGGCAGAATTTGCTTTCGATCTCATGTAAAATTATAGCAACTGCAAAAAAATTGCAACTGTTAAGATAAAGAAATCATTGTACCGTGTCTTAATGTTCTCTGTGGGATTTTTTGTGTGAAAAAATAGAGATAAAAGTTAGAAGGAAATCTAACCCGCCAACGCTAATTGCATTGTTGCTCCAAGCCAGTGTTGTTCTAACAACTCACTGTTTATCATAATAGTTAACGTATGTGCATAATTCAGTTAGTTAACAAGTCAGTCTTAGAGAGTGTCAAGAAAAGCCGTAATTAATAAACAGAAGTATAAAATACGGCCATCTGTTTCACTGCTCTGACAAAAACATAAAAGAAATAGGTAAAGTCGCAGAAAGGAAAAACAGCGACAGTTCATTAACTGTTAAACCCAACACACACACTAACACATAAGCCTGAAACACCAACCTCGTCTGCCGGTTTCCGCGCATTTTTTCATGGCTTTTCTGGCCAATTCCTCAGGCCTGCCGAAGGTTTTTCCATCGTCCTTCGGTCCCCAAGATGCGCTGAATATATCGACGTAATCGCAATTAAAACCCAGAGCCTTCGCCTCCAACGCGTCAGTAACTGGCCCATCTAACATTCTTATACCGCCGATTTTGGCGTTATGGGCTACTCCTACCCCACATACCCCGTTATTGGCTTCTGCTGCTACCTCTCCTGAACATTTTGTGCCGTGAGCATTGTCTGGTTTGGAGTCATCTGGATGTGGATCAGGATCATCGTCGTTTACATCGTAGCTCGCATGGGGATCGAAGTTGCGTTTTAGATCGGGATGAGTATGATCTAAGCCATCATCAATAATGGTAACAACAACTCCCCGGCCGGTGTAACCATCTTTAACAGCCTCTAAAATACCCAGATTCCCTCTGGTCTCGTCAGCTTTGAGAGTACCAAAATACCATTCATTATTCCACTCCGGATCATTGAAATATCTTCTGTTTTCCTCGGCGCGCGTGAACCGATCCAATGCTTCGAAGCCTCGTTTGTACCTGAAGAGTAAAGTTTGTTGTTTGGCCCACTCGACCCGCGGGTGATCTAGTAATGGCTGGGTGTGATGTTCTGCGCTTCGCTTATGCCGGCTTGGCGTTTGATCGTGGACAAACTTGAAATATCCAGGTAGATTACCTATCGTTCCGTGATTCTTAAATCCTGACGCTGCCGCGACTTCGTCCGCCACTGTTTCGTCATGCGTGTCGAGTTGAACTGCCCAAGCGTTGGTGTAAATTTCGCCATCAGTTTCAACATCTTCGAACCTCTTATCACTGTGTACCGCTAAACACAAAAGTAACCCGAACAAAATAATATACAAAGTCATTGCGCGAAATCTCGCGTTGCTCTTCCCTCAGATCCGATTGTTAGCTGATGACGATGGGATGAGGGTTAAACTGACTTTTAATAACTATGCAAAATTTCAAAACCATTAACCATGCTAACTGCTCATTTGCAAGCGATATTAACATTCGATCCAATCAAGCACGAGACATGTCAGGAAGGTTCACTAACTTGCATGGCAACGGTGATTGAAGACGTCAGAGAGAGAGAGGGACAAGGAAAATATGCTGCCCACTTTTCTTATGCCAAACAGAGAAACAACATAAAAGAAAATAATTTTACACGTGCCTCTTCTCAAAATGAATAAGAAATTTCAGCTCGACGTAAACAGCAGTAATTTATTCCTGTGAGCTCTGTTCTGTGGTAGACTTAATAAAAACTCACTATGCAAGAAAACACGTCTAAATTCCCCGATGAGTAACCCGTCTTCTCTCACAGGTGCTCAGGCGGTTTTTAACACGGCAGAGACCTAAAGTGTGATCCAATGTTATATATTCATAAGATCTTGATGTGATGTTTGAAGTATTTCTTCACTGATTGAAAGTTTTTACTTCTCTACCCCTGTTGGAATTGTATATAGCGATCTTTATCTTCCTTCCGCCGGAAGCACTCTTCCTGTCCGGAAGTGTTAAGAGAAACCACTTCTCGCCGGGTTGGTAATCTTATAAGCTGGTCCCTGAGCTGAGTATGTCCAGTTCAAAACTAAACACAGCGCTGGCGAGATTGTCAAGCATCGCCGAGTCGGGAGTTTTCGGAGAACAACACCAAAAACGAAAGCAAAAACAGAAAACAGAAAACAAAGAAGCATTTAATTAAAAAAACACTACTCCTAAATGTCTTTTGAAAGAGTTTTTGAGTATTTCCCCTTACTCGCACCTCTTCAAGCTCGGGAGAATTTGATTGGGAGAAGACAAGATGTCTCCATAAGATGTTCACTCGCTTTCTTTATTGCTTGTTACTCGATTACGGGAAAACAGGGAGCTAAGGAACTCATAGTCTAATCAACATATCGATTCTTATAACATTCCTACTAAAGCAGTAACGGGAAATAGATAAATGATAATTACTGCTACTGAAGGACTAAAAGATCATTCTCTCTTGTGTTTAGCCAGCGCGAAAAAAGGAAAAAAATCCCTTTAGGTTCCTATCTATTAACTTCTGATTGTTCTTTCTCTCTTGTAAACACGAGCACGTACACTATAAAACATAACAAAAGTAGTAATTTAACTCCAGAGTGTGTTAACTCCCCAGCTTTGAAATTTCATACCTGGACTTAGCCACTTCAAAAGCTGTTCAAACACGTTTATGTGGGCGGTTTAGATATCACAGAGTTGGGATGTATAAGTTTTCACCACCAGGATCAAAACTTACACCTGCTCACACACGAGAAAAGTGAGGGATCGACTTTGGGCATTTGAGGTTCTCATGCATTGATCAGCTTTATTTATCTTCTGGGGTTTGTTATGATTAGCATACTATCGAGTACTTAAATTACTTATTTTTTTTTTTACTGATTTTGGGAACGGCCTGCGCTTAGAAAACTAGTGGATATCGTTAATCCGTGAATATCGTTGTGAAACTAGTGATTATCGTTAATCGTTATCGCCGGGTGGAATAAAAACTACAAGAACCGAGATGTAAAAGTAAAAGGTTTATATTTCTTTCCTTTTTCCTGCCGGCGAATTTAATTGTAACACACGAAATAAGTAAATAAAATATAAAATATGTTTTAAAGATTAAAATATATTTTAAAAGAAAACCTAAAGAAAGGCTTTTCCAATAATTTTCGGTTTTAACTTCCTTTTAAAACTTTTAGAACGTATAATTAATTTCTAGTGTCTTTTATTGTAAGCAACTTGTACTTTTAGCTGTCAGCCTTTTATATTAGCATAGAAGAGCCAATTTATCTTGAATTTACTAATAAAAGCCGTTATTGTTTTTGTTATTATTAAGTCGTCGCAAAAACAGGTCACGGTTTTTTTCTCCTCCCTTTCACCGGTGTGAAACATAAAGGAAAAATAAGAACAGGCGACGAATGAGGCTTACGCGCCTATGCAGCCACTTAGCTGCGACATGTGTCAGAGTAACGTTGATATTTTGAACTAAGCTCTGGTAAGAGAACATGAGAAATGAGAGAACCATATGCCTCATCTATCAAGTCATTTTAAGACGTTACCCAGTCCTTCCGCGGATATTACCACGCGCGTTGGTGGTTTCGTGAAGAGAAAAAGCAGGGCGGAAAAAGGCCGGGCGGTGAAACGGGCAGTCCGCTCTTGGTCCAATGTGTAATGCGGGGAAGGACTGGCACGAGCGCTCTTTCCGCGCCTCCGGTGAGATTAATGGCTGCCAAAAATTTCCTCTCAACGAACCGGAATCAAATTTTCTTTCTTTATTTTTGAGCCACCAGTGCTGTATTTTCAAAAGTGTTTTTGATGCTTTAGACCCAAAATGCAATATGTTTATGTCTTTTGTAATGATGTTTAGGTAGTTTCGTCGTAGGCTGCCCAAATTTGAGTGAGGTAAGACAGTGTCGACTGCAGGTATGTCCCGCTTATCATGACCAAGCCGTGATCCGCTTCTTCTTTTACGAGTACTCCACATTACTCCGCTCTAAATTTTACATATGTTGAAGATCGATAGCTTTTACATAACATAGTAAAAAACCAGCTGGATGTATTTGGATATAGCAGCGTTTCAGAACTTCAAAGTTTCCCTACTCTTGGCAAACGCTTGCTTGGATTTTGCCATAGAGACCGAAAAGTAATAAAATTTTGCGAGTTTGAGTTTCTCCTGAATTGCAATCAACATTCGATGTTTCATCAAGGCATAAACACTTTTGTCTGTAAATACTGCTCAGTTTTGTTTGTCACGGTGAAAATCCAATAAATCGTTGGTTGTCGATGAAAAAGAGCGCCCGCCATTGCGTGTTTTGTAGCTATAAACATGACAAATTGGACTTCAATTCCACTCTTTCGTGTAAAAACGTACATCGAACTCAAACAATATCTCTGGCTTAAAATATGTTCAAGACTGATGAATGTTTGAGAACACATTAAAAGTTTGGCTTAAAATATGGGAAGACAACAGAAACAATCAGCACAGTTACGGTAGCGCTTTCATTGATCAACCCGAATAAGGATTCAATTTCGATTTTGTTGTTTGAGTTCTCAAAACTCCATATCTATTTCATTTTCGCAGTATAAAATTTCACTATGTTAAAGTAACACACATGAAGTTAGTAGCCTTATAGCGTTGGTGATAATTGTTGCAGCATCTCAGCACAAAAGATGACAGAAATGATCTTCGTGAAGATTTTATATTGACAATTGAAAACACCGACTCGGACTTAGAAAGTGCACGCGCTGCATTATGCAAATTGGCTACTTGTACGCGTCAGATTTATTTTCCTTTCCAGGTTCAAAAGCTTCTGCAAACTCGCCAAACGAGCAGAAACAATAAGAAACTATCGAAACAGATTTCGGTTATGACTAAACATTGTTCTGAGAAATAACCCGATACCAGAGTAGAGAGTTTTCTTGCATAAACTTTATTCTTAAGTCAAAAGCTTACGCGTACAACTAGCGCGAGCAGATCTTACTCATTCACAGCGCGAAATTTGAAGTCCTGTTTTCAACCCTGAAAAAAAACTCACCTTTTCCCATTGCCTAAGAACAAAAAATGCACCAAACGAGGTTGCTAATTCATATAGAAGGGAGTCTCGTGGAATTTCTTCAGAAATCTAAGTTCTAGTGCAAGTAAGCGAAATCTGCTCGTCTTAGTAGACCCCCAGTCTACTGCATCACACCTTTTTGCTCGGACCCGCTCGTTTCACCGCCCTACATATAAGCGCCCTGGAAAAAGCGTGTAAAGCCGCTTGGACTGTCCACGTGAGCAAAATGCACGACACAGGATTGGCTATTTTTAGACCTTCCTGCGATTTCCGAAACTGGAATTAATCAAAAATAGCTCGAGATGAATTACCTTCCCTGCTATGTCCCGGGAACCGGGGGACTGTGGTCTAATCGACTGGTGCACAAAGCCCCGGCCAAACGATCGCAACATTGTTGGGCGTCGTTGGCTCAAATTTGACCATTTTCATTTTCAAGGGTAATTAACTCTCTTACCCTTATCTTCAATTGGTTTAGTTGTTGTTGCGATCAGTTTTGGATATAAGAGCCACGCTTCTTTCAGAGCAGTTTCAGTGAATGAGTTTTTACAAGCGCTGCATCGAAAAGTAAAAAACTTGAGGTTGACGAGGCGTTTCTTAAAGCAATACGGAAAGCTCGAAACCCAAGAATAATGTGTTAGAGTTTGTAGGCACCAGTAGTTGAAAAATGAGAGGAGTCCATCAGGGTCTGGCTAATAAGGCGAGTATAAAAACGGCTTACAATATGGATAAACTGAAAAAGCGAGGTCGCATTTCCAAAGTTGATTCAGTGAAAGTCCTGTAAATAAGTTCTTATAAATTCTTGTTGCAAGGCAAAACAGGCCATTTTCGAGTTGCCTGTTGCCTCTGCGTCAAAACGAGTCTTCGCGTGTAAATCACTCATCATCACTTTCATTTTCATGCAAATCAAACTCATTTTCTTATGAAAGACGATAACTCGTTTTGAAACAGAGGCACAAGGTAACTCGGAAATGGCGTATTCCGTTATGAACTAAAACAGACTAGAATTCGTACCGTTCTCATTCCATAACATTCTACATTCAATATCCAACTCTCCAACTCAGTCACTTACTGAAAAGAGTACAAATAACACGTCAAACGAGAGATTACCCGCTGCACTTCCAAAGCAAAAACAAAAAAAGAAATAATAATAATAAAAAAAATAAAAATGTAACTTGAGCTGAGAGGGTGACATGTTTAATTTGTTGTTTATCAACAAAACGATATCTTACATTCAACATATTACGCATGAAAAATCTGTCCCTTTACTGCAACGTTACACAATGTAATCAGATCACCTACTACTAAGCTATCGATGCCCTATGCCTCTCACGGGGCAAGGAGGACTATGCGAGTAACCTACTCTTCGATTACCATTATATATTTTACATAAACCGATCCGAAGTTTTCAGTATAGTTTCTTTAAATACAAATGTCTTCAACCGCCAAACACGCCACACAAATAAACTCAACAAAGGTTTTAATTGCATTTTGGACTCTGCTTCTTGTGTCTACACGTTGATTTTCTAATTGCTTGACCAAAAAGCAATCGTTTCTCTGGCAATAAGCTCCTTCACTGCAAAACACGCCGCACTCTTGGACTCAACAAAGACTTTTCAACTGCATTGTGCACTTTCTTTTTTAGCATCTACACGTTTTCTTGCCAGTGTGGCTTCATTAAGTGGACACTAATAAGGCCGCAGAACAAAGCTGACACAGAAAAAAATCAATTAAAGCTCAGCGAAGGGCAAACTAATCGCGTGATGTATTATCAATGTTGAATTAAGTCGCCTTTGGCTACTTCTTTGCTTGGTTAATGCGACAAAGGTGAAAAACTAAAACCAATTTTAAGCGAAGCTCATTTACAGCAGATTCTCGCAATTCGGCAATTGAAAACTAGTTGACTAAAATAAGCAGGAGAAACCCGCCGAGTTTACAGCCAGCGGTTCCACTAAATGTACTTTATTTTTTTACTAACAAGCAAGTCAGACATTTTCCTAAAGGTATAAACCGGTTTTACTAGACTGACTAGAAGACAAACCGGTTAAAAGGAGTAGTAAATCCCGGTCCGCTGCCGCAGCCCCCCGGGGGTCCCATGTTGTTATCATCGTCGTCGTCAGGTGGTTGGTAGATGTTTGAGCGTACTTTCCGTTTGGCAGTATTCACCGTCTGACGCTCGCGCTCCTAACAACAAAGAGAGCTTGCATTATGAAAGTGTACGTTAAACAAAGACCTTACTAACGGCAACCGTTCACTTCCCCATAATGGCCCCGCCCTGTTTAGTCCTAGGTTTGGATCCTAACTGCGCACTAGACTGCCAGTAACTTCTCTCTTTTTCTTAGACCGTAACGCGAGGGAAAGCGCGAGAGAAAATGGGCATGCGCACGAGGGCATTTCTTTCGCGTTCTTTTCGCGCCACGCTCGCGCCACGCTCGGCTGACTAAGAGAGACTACTCGACTGACTAAGAGACGCTACTCGTGTTCTGACTGCGCCAAAACCTATTGGAGTCTTTGTTGAGGTCATTATTTACATATTGCCTCCTCTAGCATCGCACTTTGAGTACAGAAGCCCTCATGCTATAGTAAATATGAAGCGACTTAAACCCTTTAAAGAGATTTTTAGCTGTTGGGTGTAATATTGAAGACGACATCGGATCGGCTTTCAGAACATGTAAACCTTCCCATACCGGCCACTTCATTTGTTTTTGTAAGTTGTAAAAGGTGGTTCCAAACCCTAGTGTGTGAACATTTATATGAAAGCTAATGAGCAGTCGTTTCACGATGCAATGTTTATTATGTCGCACGAGGTGGTTCTAACTTCAAGTCTGTTGTCTTAGCCTGTAACAGTTGAATTAAAATAAACTCTGCGATTTTAAACTCTTTGACCGCTGGTACTCTAAGAGTAAAAGGGTTAAACGGACTCACCTGCAAGTATAACAGGTTATCTCGATTAACAATGTCTGCCAGTTCCGGTCTGATCTCTCCCCCAACCTGCTTATCTTGTGGTATACTTATATCACCGCTGCTCTCAACTGGGATGACTGTGGCACAAGAGCTGACCCGCTTGTATATCAACACGTACGGAGTATCCTTGGGAAAGCGCCTTGACACGTCCGCAAAGGTGCTGAATGCAGAATAAGATACACGACTGTCATTGAAAAGAAACCATGTGTCTTGATCACTCGTTCTAGAACTCGAACCGACGTCACTTTCTCCTCCTCCTCCAATCAGATGCGCAGAAGAGCGCGCGTAACAGTAATAGTGTCCACTTTCAGATGAAGTTCCAGAGTGGACAATAACTGAGCACAGCGAATAGACAATGTCTGCGGCAGATTTTCCATCATAAGTTAAGGCAGTGTCTCTGCTTGTACTGTCTACAATGCTTTCATGTTCTTGTTTCGTTCTTTTAGATTTAAAACACGACTGGGTGATGATGTCATTACTTTTGTCATCACTTCCATCGGGAACACAATCCTGTACCTCCCTTCCCCTGTCGTTTTCTTTCATATGCAAACGAGGCAACTTCAGAACAAGAGGGTAAGATACACTCTGTAGTATCTTAGACCTTTGTTGTGTCCGTACATTGTAAGCAAACCTCTTGAGTGTCAACACAAGAAAGTTTGATGCCTTGGAAATGGTGACACTCCGCTCCGCGTCCTGTAAACTATTGCACTGATTACAATGGTATTGATTAGAACCTTCAAGTACTTCAGGCTCAAAAAAATATTCCAGTAACTTTGTGAGGGATATGTGTGGGGCGTCGGCCCTCAGGCCCGACTCGCGTAACTTTGTCGGCAGACTTGGCCCAGTAGTAAAAGACATTGAACTGTCTGCAGAGGCAGCACTATGCGATGAAGCTGCAGCAACAGCATCGCCATCTTCAGCAGGCTTTGATGTTAAACCAGTTGCATTTATGCTATGAGTGACATCTCCCCCTTTGAGACTCCGATCAGAGCTTGGAGTGGAATTCACATTCATTTCATCCTGCTCAACTGGTTGCTTAACAGACGACAAATTCTCATCCTGTTCAGGCACCACCCGACCTTCTAATTCACTGGCCTGTGGGAATGCCAGTGGAAGGTCTGTGAACTCTTCCTCTCTACAGGAGGTGTTATTACACCTGCGACAGCACAGGCACACCAACAGCTTTCCAGCAAAGGTGTCATCTATGAGCGAGGTTTTAGGCATTTCGTCATTGTTGCTATTGCTAAGGGATTTGTCTTCCTCGCTGATTCTGTCAAGAAGGAACTTTAGGAATTCTGAGCAGTCTTGTTGAGTACCAGGGGCAAACCATGGAGGCCTAGCAACCTGAAGGAACTTTGAAGGCGCAAAGGCAGATCTCTGTGAAAAAACAACAACAGTGAGTTTAGTTTTAAGCCAGAAAACAATCCTTCAGGTTTCATATATTTCCTTGCTCCATTTTAAAGTCAATTTGTAGAAAATCTTTACTGGTAAACATAATTCTGAGAAACAATTTATTTGAGAAACACATGCCTGACTAGGGTTGTTCAAAAGATGAATAATGCTATCTACCAGATAAATCACTATTCAGTGGATAGCGTGGTTTGCTCTGTTAACACTTATCCAGTGGATAGCAATTTATCCGGTGCATAGCGTAATCCTCCGTTTGAACAACTGGGCCCTGCTCTAAATTTCCACATGGCCTTCAATTCTTTCAAAAAACAAACAATATACATAAGACTAGACTGCTGGCAGTCTGTTTTTCTCTCGAAATTCAGCAGGGATTATGAGGCAAGACACTTTAACCTAAAAGGGAATGGGACGAGACATGGGAGCGGCATGCACGGCCATACTGGCCTTGTCCAGCCTTCTTCCCTACTTGGTCACCACCATACCGCCCTTGTGTGTTTGCAATGACTAAACACTCGTCTAAGCGACCCTTAGAGAAAAAAGCAGCTGCCAGCAGACTAACATAAGACAAAAGAAATAAAACTTCACCTGTGTTAGAGAAAGGAAGGCAAACACTTCCTGCAAGTGATACAGCAATGGTTGATGAGGGTTTGTCTGATGCCCAAAAATAATATAACGCAATCTGTAAACACAGAAATGAATAATCAAGATTGTTTCCACATAACATTTAATGATTAAAGGTCAGCTGCCCAAAGTGGTGATTTAGAAAAACATAGAAACTGCCCATACCTTCCTAAAGGTAGCAAAGTTAGAAAACAAGATATACGTTGAACACTAAGTACTTTGAGATATGTAACACTTAGTGAACACAAACTATAAAGAGGAGATCCGACCTACAACTGACTGCACAGTGAAAAGTAACTCCAGTAGTCATGCCAATTACTTCATATCACCCATTTTGTACATATTTACATAGATTTTGTCAGCAAACCTGCAGTTTCTTCGACATCATAACCAAGGTAGTAAGTAATAAAGTCATACAGTAAGTCTTAAGTCTTAAGTCAGTCAGTGGTAAGTCTTCTTTTTTTAAAATGCTTTTACAAACTTACAAACGTCACTTACAATACATTAAAAAACCTACTTACAATACTACTAACAGTGGTAAGTCTTCTTGCCGTTTTAACATTTTCACACAGTCTGTAAGAATGCAAATTAGTAATTTTGTCCACAAGTTTCCCCAGAAAACCACTGTGTCATATTGTTTATGGTTGATACCTTTTCTTGACAACATTTCTTCAATTACCAGTAGGTGTATGCAACAAATTTTTTACACAACACCTCTTCAAAAGATTCTTTACAGTTAAGTTGAAAACTTACTCATCAAGCATATAGAGAGCCTGCAACACACTGTTCATATAACATGTGTTGCCCAAGTTAACTAAACCAGTTTTTCCAGTTTCAGATTTTGGTGTAAAACCAATGAGTGGAATGTTAAGAGCCTGTGCAGACCATGCACTTTGAGCCAGCCACTTCTTTATCATGACTTCTGAAGGTTTAGGTAAATCCTAGTAAAATGAAAAGAGGGTCTGGCATGAAAAATCAATCGTCATTTTAAAAATGCACTGATATGGAGTCAAGACAGATACAGTAGAGCCCTGTTAGTCTGGTCACAAACGGGCCACAAAAATCCAGCCATATTATTGGGGTGGCCGTATTAAAGGGGTTCTCTAAATTAGAAAATGACTGACTGAGCTTTAGTTCTGGCCAGAATAAAGTGGCCGTAATAACGAGGTGGACATTAGGCAGGGTTTCACTGTAGAAGAAAGAGCTCAATTATTTACACAAGCATGCAAATGTAATTTTCTTGTAGACTTGTTTTTCTAAAAATGAAAGATGGTGAACAGTCATGGGTTTTTTCCTTTCACTGAAGAACAACATGATTACTCCTTCAAGTGAATCCTGGAACTTTTGTAAGAACTCACATTAGTGAGGTACACAGGTACACCATACAGCCATCTTTGGGCCATAAAAGTGTGGTCATAGAATTCAACAGATTTTTAAAATATGAAAATGACTTACTAAACATTTCCTCTGGGCCAAAAAAGGGGCTGTAATTTTGAGGTGGTCAAATCAACTGGGAGATTCCAAATAAGTACTGTAATATTACGCATCTGAAAAAGATTCATTGTGAATTATCATGTTCATTATTGTACTAAAAGGCCATTTGACCACCACAATACCTGCAAACTATCAAGAACTGGTCCATATAGTTCAGGGAAGCCTGTGTGCTGATACATGAGGCAATGCATAAGTTCTGCAAGGGTCTGCAGTGTAGACTGTGAGGATGTACTGTTTTCCTTCTTTAGATTCTGTACAAGGCCGGGCACATGTTCAACAATCTAAAAAAATTAAACATGGCAGAAATTCTTACCAATTTACTGATTTATAACCATTAATAACTTCACTTTCACTACATGCCTCTTACTAACCGAGTTCAAGGTCCATACTGTAATACTGTACAGACTGAGTTTTTCCCCCTTCAATTTATGGTCTGCACACTTTGTGCTTGAGCCATAAATCAAAGGGTAAAAAAAAAGGATCCATAACGTACCGTATGGACTGAGAAGACAAGGTAGAAAGATATTTATTATATCTCTACTGTTTGTCTGATGGGTTCAGGAATGATTTCAATTCACGCGAAACAGCTTCAAATTTTTGACACAAGTCGAGAGCAAAATGAGTCAATTTGAAATCGTTGTTAAGTTGTTAGCACATTTTAATACACAATTTATAATAGTAAAAGAAAGTTTTAAACTACTACTTGCTATATAAGTTAGAAAACACTTGATGATAAATCAGGAAACATTTTAGCAACAAAAACAGCTTTAAATTTTAACGGGCCATACAGTAGAATATGGCTTGCTAAACTGACCAATCACAGTGCGCCAAGAAACTGAAAGATATACTGTAATAATGAGCTTTACTAACAAACTAACTACTTTTGAACTTATTTTTACCTCATGAAATGCTTGAGGAGAGTGTCGAAAGCTCAATAGCATATGAGACAGGACAACCATAGTACTCTCACGGACGACTGGAAATAACAAGCGGCTGAAAACCTACAGAGAAAAAATAAATAGGACAAAATACAGAAAATTAAGAAATGATTTGAACATAACAAAGGTTACCACTATTATGTAAAAAATTGAAACTCCAAAACAAAACGTGACGAGTGATAAAAACATTCAAACACACGCTTATCTTGATTGTCTTGAAGTGTTTCCATGTTCACTAAAAAATTAACCTGATGGTGAAAAATACTCAAGGTACACCAACCTCTATTAAGCGGCCAACTCCAGGGAAATGGGAGGTGGCTGCTTAATAAGGGTTTGACTGTTTATCATTATAAGTATCATGCTTTCAAATGTCACTCCTGCCTTCCTTGCAATGTAACATGTAAGCGAACTTTCCTTATGTGCAGGGGTTTCAGTAACTCTTTCTGCAACAGGGCAAATGGTTTTCACAGGTGAGCAAAACTTTTTGAAATGAACTTCTTTATAAGAAAATCTTTCCTCTAGATGGTCAAACCAGGTGGGCAAAAATCATCCTCACAGTTGGTCAATTTGCCTACTCCCTGGCCCTTAATGAAACCCCTGTTAATGTGAACTTGGTGGCTGTCCAGATTAGCTAACTCTACTAATTAGATGTAAAGAGGCTTGCAAATAGAGGCAAAATGTCAAAAAACAAACAAGGTAATGACTATTTTGAGGGGAAACAAACTTACCTGAGCAACTTCTTTCAATGTAACAGAGATAAGAATTGAATGCTTTTTAGCACTTGCCAAGGCCTTCAGAAACCCAGTAATCCATTTGTCTACTTTTTTTGCACCTGGCCATGAAAGCCAGTTGATCATACGACTCAGGGAAAGAGCCAGGCTTTCATCAGAAACAGATGGATTAGCAGCCACAAGGCTTGTAGCTGACTCAATGGTATCAGTCGAAAAATGCTGTACAACACATGCAAGGGCCACCGAGGGATTGCGACCCACCCTGGAAACAATCTTAAAAATTTCAGTCAAAACTGGAAAGACAAGGGCTTGATTTTTCATCCACATCTTATTAAGCAGAGCCCCAATAACAGCACCATTTTGAATGCATGACTTCATTTCCTCTTTCGATGTTTTAGGGAGTTCAGTTTCGCTCAACGCATTGATCAGTGACAGGTTAAAATGAAGTAAATTCTCACCAACTGGCCAACAGTGGCTATACTCAATTAAAAGACGTGCCACAGCCGCGCAGAAGTCTGTGTTTAAATTTTTTTCCACCCAGATATGAGCTCTGTGGCGCACAACCGTGTACAAAGAAAATATTTGTGGAGTGTGTTGTGCCAGATCAAGTGACGTCCGCAAATAGTCGATAAAACTCACAGACAATTTTTCGCGTTCAGCGAGAAAAGACAGAAGAAATCCCTCAGTGAAATACTTTTGAAAAACGTCCTTTTGCCGCTTTGCCCACGTGGTAAGCAACAGTCTTCCAGTTTCATTCAGAAACTGTGAGTTTTCTTCTGTCATCCATTGAGTTCCAATTTCAAAGATGGACCTGTTTTGATCCTCCGGTACGTTATTGCTAGTTTTTGGGACGAGTTGTTGAACTAAAGACTTCTTGACATTTTCAGGGTGATTTGAAGCCACAATTCCCCTTAAAATCTGGTCCATGGTGGCAGCAAAAACTACAAAAACTGCATTCGTTCACTGATGCTTCGCCGTCAGTTTGTGCTGACAACATATACATACCCGGATGTGGCGCAGGCCTGAAGAGGTCTGGGGCATTGTCTGGTTCAATACACCGGAAGTGAAGGTGCTTCACAGGAGCATCACAGGAAGTTACAGGAAGTCACATGAGGATCATTTAAAGAAAATCATTACTTGCGGTCATTTTACAATTCGTTCAAATTGCTCTTACCTAACGGCTTGTGCAATTTTAAGATAACTTTCAAATTAATGTATGGGTAATCGAATGGTTTCAAGTGCAATTTGGAATAAATTGGACACTTGTAAGTAAATTTTTCGAAGACTCAAAAAGAGAATTCACAAACCGGCTGAACGAGTGCATTCGTAGTCTTTGAAAAAAAATTACGAGTGCTTAAATTTATTGCAAATTGTACGAGAAAGATCATTTGATGGTGTGATCCTTTTTGATGATATAAATGTAATTTAGTTTTAACATTTTGCACTCAATTGTAACTTTCTGCACTGCTTTAATCCGCATGTTGAAATTTTTGCAAGCATATTATTGCACGAGCCTTGCACGAGTAATTTTAATTGTAGGGGGCATCCGGGGACCATCTTTTCAGGGAGTTGACGGGGTACTTGAGTATTCCCCGCCTGCCCGTACCGCGTGTTGAGCAACTTTTTATCAAATCCATTTATGGTAATTTTAGCCAGTACACTTCAATCAATACTGTTCAACTCTATTTTCAGGATCGATTTAATAGAGTGAATCCAATATCTGGTTGCTGATAATTTTTCTGACATCCTCTTAATTTCTGAATATTAGTCCTGGCGCCAGAGAATCGGGCGGAACAAAGGCCTTACTGACTAAATAATAAACCATATCAATCTATCTGGAGGGCCCTTGAAAATACCCTCACAGTTATCTTCAATTTCCCGTTGTTCTCTCGACTCTCCACACCAAAGCGTCTTTCAGCATTCAACCTGCGATTTGTTTGTCAATAACTAAACAGATTAAAAAGACGGTGAGGTTGTGAACAAAACTCAGTTCAAATTGAAAGGTTTGGGGCAATATTTACACTTCAACACCCTTGAAGCTGTTTGTGATCACTGTATTCGCCAAGCGCCAGTATACGCAGGGTCGCAACTAATTAGCCAATCATATCTCGAGTTCCGAAATTAAACTTTTCAATCAAGGTGTACGATTTCTATTATCACATAAATTAACAAACCCCCAAGATTGAACAAGGCTTGTGAAAGAACCTCCTTTATTGTATTCCTATGATAAAGAGATTTATAGCGACGATGTTAATCAGGTGGCAAAGAACTAAGTTTGTTAAATTTGAACTGATTTTAGGTCGCCAAACAGTGATAATCCTTGTGCAAGATGCCTCGGGGCTGATATCTCGGCATATCGGGCGCACTGGGGCAGAACAGTAAATGACAACATATCAAAAACATGTCACATTTTCATCCATATAATGGCTATCTGTTCCCTGGGGACCCGGTAGCTAGCAAACCAAACCGTCGATCCGCGTGTATGGAATTTCGGACGTTGACAATGTCTTGTGGCTTTGCTGTGCAAGCCAGTAAGCATGTTTAACATTCTTTTTACAAACTGTTGTTGTGAGGAACAACGAGAGTTGATTTATGGCACGGAGTGGCGGGGAGTGCAGACCTTTCTACTGCCGAGAATGGGTCTACGAAAAAATCCATGCTTGCTTGGAAAGAAGAAAACATCAAGAGGATACCAAAACGAAGGGAGCTTTCATTCTAGGAGGGCCTGGCTCCGGCAAAACGACAATTTTTCGTGAACTTGTATCTCCAACCGCCAAGAAAGGCGTTCAGGTGGAACTTTCGAAGAAAGTTGTTGCCTACCACTTTTGCCAAGCCCAGAATGCGCTCTCTGTTTCCGTCGCGGACTTTATTTCAAGTCTTGCAAAGCAACTTGCTAAAGCAGAAGAGCTGAAAGCGTACGCTGCCAAATACAGCGACCCCCAAATTCAAAATCACCTGAAAAGTGAACATTGTATTCGAAACCCTGATCGTTCCTTCAAAGAAGGAATTCTGCTTCCTTTAAATTCGCTGTCGCCACCGCAAGATATCTTCTTAGTTGTGGTGGACGCCATTGATGAATCGTTCCTACATTCTTTCGATTCCGGTGTTGCATCTGGCAGTCGAACTGTTGCCGAATTGATGGCCACCCATCATGACTTGCTACCTCCTTGGTTGTTTCTTGTTGTAAGTGCGAGAAAACAGTCGAAAACCGTTACAAGAATGTTCACCGGATTCCGAAAGTTAACTTTAGACGATCTTCGGAAAGCACACGTTGTCAAAGACATTCAACAGTACATTTTAAATCGCTTGGACGACGAACCCAGCTTGAGAAAACACTTGACTAGGGAGACGGCTGAAGCCTTTAACCAGCTCCATATCAAGAGCAATGGTTGTCTTCTTTATCTTGAAAAACTGTTGGATGGGCTGGTGGATGAATTTTTCACCCTGGACGAGACCCAAGACATTCCAGGAACATTGTCTGGCCTATACCTATGGCTTTGCAATAGGTTGTTCACAGAAGAACAAGTGGAAAAGATTCGCTCAGTACTGAATGTTGTGTTAGCAGCTCAAAGGCCACTAACTGATTCTGAAATGTTTCAAGCAGTCTGGACGAAAGATACTGAACTGACAACAGAACGCTTTTTGGAAACCCTTGACCTCATGTCGCACCATTTTCTAACTGAGAACAATGGTGCAAAGAGCATCTCTCATCTATCTTTTGCAGAGTGGCTCTTGGATGCAAAACACTGCACTGCGAAATTTCAATGCAATCCTGCAGATGGGCATGCGATGTTAGCCTTGCATTACACCCGACTCTCTCAAAGACAACAGCTTACACATCCTCATCAGCTTGCATTTCATTTGAGTCGGGCATCTTTCAGGGAGTTTTTCACCCAAGATCACCTTGCACTGTGGCTTCTTTGGAGTGGAACACAGATCACACACATCCAGCTTAATACAGATGCACTAAACCAAGAGGTTGCTCAACTTTTGCTTGATGCTGGTGCTAAAGTTAGTGAACTTGAGGACCAAGCTTCCTTGGTTCCTTTTGCACCAGAGACAGAAGATTCTGTCAAGGCGTTACTAGAGAAAGGAACCTCAGTGGATCGTGTTGATAGTTCTGGTCGTACATTGTTATGCAATGCTGCATTTAATGGAAATGTTGATGTAGTACGGCTTCTGATTAAACATGGCGCTAGTGTTAACTTCTCAGACACCTCCGGACAGTCGCCATTAATGCTAGCATCAAGACAAGGACACAGTGAAATTGCATATCTCCTTGTGAACTGTGGTGCGTCAGTAGATCATTGTGCTGATGATGGATGCACTGCATTAAGGGCAGCAGCCTCTGGAGGGCACTCTGATGTTGTCTCTGTTCTTCTGGATCACTCAGCACAAGTAGACCTGGCTGATGATGATCAGCGAACTGCTATGCGTGGAGCATCATGGGGTGGACACAGTGATGTTGTTTTGCAGCTCCTCCAACGTGGAGCTGATCCAAATCTTGCCGATAAAGAGGGACGGACAGCACTAATAGCTGGTGCTTACATGGGTCATAAGAAAGTTGTGGAAATACTACTTGATTACAAAGCAGAAATCAATCATGCAGACAATGATGGCAGAACTGCTTTAGCAGTGACAGTTCTTTGTGTTTCGGCAAGTGAAAACCATGAAGCTGTTGTTGATCTTCTTCTAAAGCGTGGAGCAGAGGTGGACCATCCTGATTTTGATGGCTTAACACCACTTTGTGTTGCTGCCCTTGAGGGTTATTACAATGTTGCCAAGTTGTTAATAAAAGCTGGGGCAGATACTGGTCATTGGGACAGAAATGGACGGACACCCCTGTTTGCTGCAGCAGCTAATGGTCATTGTGACATTGTAGATTTGCTCCTTGCAACAGCAGAAGGTACTTATAGTTACTTGTATTTCTGAAATGGTGAGGTTAAGTTTGTTTTGTACAGGAGAAAAATATCACTACATTGTGACTTAACTTGCAACCTATATCCGTCAGCAAACTCAAAATTGTAGTGATTTAAACAGCTGACAGTGTCAGTAAATGCTAGTGCTGTTTACCTTGTGCCAGGGTTTTTAGCCAGGATTTGAAAAGTGGGCATTCAAAACTTTGAGTGGGGCTTAAAGGTGTCACTCTCTTACTGTGTGACTATGTGAACAAGGACAGGTTGAAGAAAACAGGCCAATGAATTAGAACAATGGTGGGAATCTTTTGTGATAACTCTCAACAAGTGGGTGTACTTGGTGACACATGTGGTTTAAAGTAAGCTGATTGTCATGTACATGTACAGGGCTGTCATTAAGGGCCGTAAGCCATAACACCTGTTACGGCTGAGTATGCTTGATTTTCCCTTGATGCTACGGGTGAAATTCCCTGTTGTTTAGAGAATTCACCCACAAAGTAACAAATTTGCTATGGGTGTGGAGAATAAGGTTACAGGTGACTAAGAAATTAATGACAACCCTGCATGTACACCAGGACATGTGCCTGTCATGTGTATTTGTATTTATGGAGAAATTAAACTTTGATCATTGCATGTCTTGTTTGTTTCAGATGGTAAGCCAGATCCATCTGCTTGGGCTTCACCCAAGTTTTCAATGTTCCGGGCTGACCACAGTGGCTGGAACCCATTGATGGTGGCCGCAAATCAAGGTAGCATACAGGGCTGAAGTTAAGGACAATAACCCATGACACCTTTTGCACCTGACTATGTTTGAAATGCTTGATAGGCCCTTGATGCTGCAGCTGAATTTGCCTGTTGTTGGTATATTCACTCACCAAGCAACAAGTGTCATGTGTTACAGATGTGATGTGATTCAAAACGTAATGACAGTCATTGCATTTCCTTCACTGAGAGATTTGTTCTACTTTTATACTAGCCTATTAAATTTTTCTCTCCCTATTATTTTCTTTTGGGAGTGTCATTGAGTAAAACTTGTGCACTCCGTACCATAAAGTAACTGGCAGGGTGGCTGCCTCCTCTGGATAGGATGCTGTTTTATCCCAGGTTCTTCCACCTTAGGCTAATTAACAATTTGCAATAGTGGTGGAGATAAGTACTGCCCTGAACTAGCAATCAAACATGGACTGCAAAATGTGAAGTCCAACATGCTAACATTAGCAGCCATGCCCTACTCAATCATGTTTTTCATGGTTGTTTAATCCATTTCTGTTGTTGCATGCCACTCATTTAGGTAGAATTTATAAAAAGGTAACTAAACAGTAATTAATACATATCATGGGTTAAAGCCACATAAGATGTAACTTAAGGTTACCGTATACCTTCAGGGGTGTCTCACGTCCAAGCGATGTAGCGC